CATTTTTGTTTTCTAAACTTATTTAAGACGTTGCTATTTTAAGCTTGTAAGCTGCTTCTTTTGGAAGTGGATGTGGCCAGATCGCTTTTAAGCTAAGCCAAACAGAGCATGGTCTCTTTTGATCTGCATTTCAAGAGTCGGGAAAAAATCGCCTTCTTAGCTTGGGATATTTTTCCACAGCCAAAAGTATCGTGGTTTTGCGGAATGAAATGCATCGAACCCTGTTCGCGAATCTGCCGGAAGTCAGTAAATGTTGAAGCACATGGAAAATAATCTCAGCTAGGCATTTTTACAAACAGTTTGTAGTACTGCAGCGAACACATGCTTATTCAAGATTCTGTACAGACTTCGGTTCGGAACCACTTACGAAAAAACCCATGAACTATCCAACTCAGACCCTCAAAACCCTTTTGAGAAACCCCATAACCATCAAAACAGGCTCTCAAGCCAAGCAACTGCATGCTCAAATTATTAAATTTCAAGGAAGGGGAACCCCCTTTTATGCATTCACTACTATAGTTCTTTCCATTTACTCCAACTTGAACCTATTTGAAGATTGCCTCTTACTTTTCAAGACCTTCCACTCTCCACCCCCTGCCAGGGCCTGGAAATCCGTTATCAAATGTTATGTGTCTAATGGGCATTTTGTGGAGTCTTTGACTTGTTTTAACAAAATGAGGGCTTTGGGGAAAACCCCAGATAGGAATGTGTTTCCTTCCGTGCTGAAAGCTTGTGCTCATTTGAGGGACTTGAAATTTGGTGAAGCTGTGCATGGAAGTATTATAAGGCTTGGTATGGAACCCGATCTTTATACTGGAAATGCTTTAATGAACATGTATGCAAAGTTGGTCTCTTTGGAAGGTGTGAATGTGCTTGATGGTGTTTCTGAACCAAAGGGAATGTTTGGAATTAATGAGAATTTGAAGGACGATGATAATTCATGTCAATTTTTTAATAAAAATTTGAGAAATGAGTTGGCTCACAGTAGTGATAGTAGCATTTTTCATTTTTGTAGGAGTGATTTGATTGGTTCTGATGGTTCATGCGAATTAAGTCAAGATGTTCGAAATCAAATTGCAAGTGTTGATCAAAAAGCTTATTTCAATAATAATGTGAAGAGTCAGTCGGATTCTAGTGGTGGAGGGATGGAAATCGTTGATGGTTTGAAGAAAAGAAAGAATGAAGCTTTATGCTGCCTGGATAGTGTGAGAAAAGTTTTTGAAATGATGGTAGTTAGAGATGGTGTCTCATGGAATACATTTATTGGAGGGCAAGTGCAAAATGGGATGTATGAGGAAGCTCTGATTACAGTAAGGGAGATGGGGAATGCGAATTTGAAGCCTGATTCTTTCACTCTATCTACGATTCTTCCTATCTTTTCAGAGTATGTAGATGTGATGAAGGGAAAGGAGATTCATGGGTATGTCATCAGGCATGAGTTTGAAGAAGATGTTTATGTTGGAAGTAGTTTGATTGATATGTATGCAAATTGTACCCGGGTGGAAGATTCTTACAAGGTTTTCAATTTGTCACCTCGAAAGGATAGTGTTTTGTGGAATTCAATAATAGCAGCGTGTGTGCAGAATGGCAGGTTTGATGCAGGGCTGAAATGGTTTAGGGAGATGTTAATGTCTGGTATTGAGCCTGTGGGTGTTTCATTTTCGAGCATAATGCCGGCTTGTGCTCATTTGACGACTTTACATTTAGGTAAGCAGCTCCACGGATGTGTCATGAGGCTGGGTTTTGGTGATAACAAATATGTAGCTAGCTCCCTGATGGACATGTATGCGAAGTGTGGTAACATAAGGATTGCTCGGTGGATATTTGATAACATGGAGAATCAAGATGCAATTTCATGGACAGCCATGATCATGGGATATGCATTGCATGGCCATGCCCATGAGGCCATCTTGTTATTCACGAAGATGGAGATGGAGGGAGTGAAGCCCAATTCTGTTTCCTTTGTGGCTGTTTTGACGGCATGTAGCCATGCTGGATTGGTTAATGAAGCTTGGAAATATTTAAGAAGTATGACTCAGAACTATGCTATTACTCCAGGTCTAGAGCACTATGCTGCTGTCTCAGATGTTCTCGGTCGAGCAGGAAGATTGGATGAAGCTTACAAGTTTATCTCTAGCCTGCATATTAAAACAACAGGAAGTATTTGGTCCACATTGCTGTCTGCTTGCCGAGTTCACAAGAATGTTGAACTGGCTGAAAAAATTGCCAATGAAATATTTAAGATTGATCCTGAATATATGGGTGCTTATATTCTCTTGTCCAATGTTTATGTTGCTGCTGGGAGGTGGAAAAATGCGGCAAAGATCAGAATTACCATGGGAAAAAAGGGGATGAAAAAGAAGCCGGCATGCAGTTGGATTGAAGTTAAAAACAAGGTACATGCTTTTGTGGCAGGAGATGAAAACCATCCAGATTATGGGCGGATAAACGAGGCTCTGCAAAAACTTTTGGAACAGATGGAACAGGAAGGGTATGTTCCAGATACAAATGAGGTGCTACATGATGTTGATGAGGAACAGAAGAGATATGTATTGTCTGCTCATAGTGAACGTCTTGCAATCGGATTTGGCATTATTAGTACTCCTGATGGAACAACAATTCGTGTCACAAAGAATCTTAGAGTATGCACGGACTGCCATACAGCTACAAAATTCATATCCAAGATACTGGGTAGAGAGATAATTGTCCGAGATAATAGCCGATATCACCATTTTAAGGATGGAGAATGTTCGTGTGGAGATTATTGGTGAGAAGACTTGTAAGATGTCACCAACAATGTACATTATAAGCATTTTCCTTGATATACACCCACTTGATAATATGCAGTTATATAGCATTTCCAGGGGGATATCAGGGACCATTTCTTGATGGGGCTGAATATAAGATTCTGTTTTATTTACGTTCATGAGCGTACCAACTTGCTTGTAACATTGTTTGTGGTCTGGAGACTATAGATATATGTGAAGTCACTTACTTTTGGTTGGATGACTTTCATCGACGGAATTTGAGGAAGATACACTGTTCTAAATATGGAAAAGACCTAAGGAGGATGTGTGTAGTCTGCTACTTTAGCTCTTAGTATTTAACCATCAAAGAGGTTGCTTGTATTGGGAGCAGTTATTACAAACAGATTTTGAGTATTAAACATTTGTTAATCTTCCATCTGTTACTCCATTTTGGGGATTATCAATGCATGGGGTTATCTTTTCAAGAAATGAGGCATTTTGTATCTGTAAAAGAAAAGATTAATAGGGTTTTATGCTGACAATTTTGTCAAACTCATCTTCAGTTAAATAAAGGGTTAATTTCACAAACGGTCACTGAACTTACAGAAAAATTAGAAACGGTCACTGAAGTTTAAAACTTTCAGTAACGATCACTTAAGTTTTGGGACGCTTTCAAAAATGGTTACTGAAGTTTAAAAAGTTTTTGAAACGGTCACTGAAATTGAAAAACACTTTTTTAGTTTTTTTGGTTACATTTGCGACAATTTTTCAACTACTTCCAACCACCGTTACCATTGAATTTTGATACCGTTGGAAAGTCTACCACATCCTCTTCAATTACCACTCAAAATCTCTTTGTAACACCAAGGAATTCGACCGAAAAATCACCGCAAAAGTCGCTCCAAAAAATCTAAAAATCTGCCTAGATTTTTAGATTTTTGGGAGACTTTTACGGTGATTTTCCAGCAACTTTCGACCACCAAAATCGTCGGATTTTGATATCATTGGAAAATCCACAATTTCCTTTTCAATTACCATCCAAAATCTCCCCCAAACTCCAAAGGATTCGACCGGAATAAACCTGCAAAGTCGACATCCCAAAAAGGCGAAAATCTGGGATGCCAACTTTGTGAGTTTATTCCTACCGAATCCTTAAGAGTTTTGGGAAGATTTTGGATGTTAATTGCCAATGGTATCAAAATTTGGCTATTTTGGTGATCGGAAGTTGTCAAAAAATCGCCGCAAAAGTCCACCAAAAATCTGAAAATTTGGGCAGATTTTTGCCTTTTCGGGTAGCCAACTTTGTGGGTTTATTTCGGTCGAATCCTTTTGAATTTGGGGGATATTTTTTGTTATAATTGAAGAGGACATTGTAGGCTTTCCAACGGTATCAAAATCCGGTGGTATCGATGGTCAGAAGTAGTCAAAAAATTGCTACAAAAGTAGCTCAAAAATTTTTAAACTTCAGTAACCATTTTTGAAAATGTCCCAATACTTAAGTGACCGTTACTGAAAGTTTAAAACTTCAGTGACCGTTTTGTAATTTTTCTGTAAGTTGAGTGACCGTTTGTAAAATTAACCCGTTAAATAAAATTATTGACATTGCAAAATGCAAACTAATTCAGAAAATGTGTCGATGCTCATTGATTCCTGAGTGGGTTTAAGGTGTGCAAGTTGTTGATTACCTGAGACACATGCACAGAGGGAAGAAATAGTTTGAGAAAAAGCTCTTCTAGCAGATTTCTCGGAGGTAAAGTAATTACCGAGTTACTGAACTTGTAGCGCTTGGAATCTGATGTAGTGCTTGTACTTTGTGCAGGAAAAAAAATATGCACAGTTGTTGCTTGATTCGAAGGCCTTTATAGAAGGAATACTTGGACGTATCTCCGAGAACGAGAAAACGGAAAAATGCTGATGATTTTTTACTATTGACACAATTCTAGGGAAGGTGTACATATGGAGGCTGACTCCCCAAACCCCAGCTGTTTCTGGACACCTACTGGGTTCCCATTCATTGTAAATCCTCATTTTGCTCTTAAGCCTTTTTTCATATAGTTATTTGTGTCAGAAGGCAGGCTTGAACTACTCAAAATTACATAAATTAGTTTTTATTTTTGCCAATGTGCTTAATAGGAATGAAACAAATGGACATGTAAATAACTTTCTTTTAGTGGAGCTGTGTGAAAAGGGTAAAAGAGTTGCACTTTGTTTAACGAGGCACAGTATTTTTGGTGCATATTAGAGTCGAGCTTCAGCTCAGCTCAGCATAGCATAACTGATGTAATGTAACTAATTTTGGCGCCAATTGTATAGATGTCAGCTGTAATAGTTAGTTAGATCCCCTTGTATTTATATGAACAAGTTGTATCATTTTATTACTTGAATAACACAGAATTTTCTTCCATCGTCAACATGGTATCAGAGCCTTTTTGCTTATGCTTCCTTCTCGCCATTTTTGATCGACAGTGGCCATAGAAATTACAGGCCAATTTGTCCATAATTCTTCATCATCAGCTAGCAATTTCGCAGTTGATGCTTCTGGCAGTATAGATTCAATGGCTTTCTATGGAAAGTCGAGTACAACAGATCTCAGAAGAAAGAAAGATATGTGTACTTTAGGGTTCCCTCCTGGATATAAGCCAAGGCAGAGAGTTGGAGGAGTTAAAACTTTGTGCAGACTTTAAATCCTACTCAATATCGATGCTTGATGAATTTGTTGAACAATTATCTTTGTAACACACCAAAATTTCATGAACTTTGAGGTCTCACAAAAAAAATCACTTTTGTTTGTTTTAAATACAAAACGATAAAAATAGATTTCTTTAAAAATAAACTGTTGAAATATTTATAAATTTAAACTAGAGATGGAAAATTGTATCTTAAAAAATATAAACATAGTCAACTAACTAGTTAAATAACATGTCTTTGAATAAATTAAACTAACTAATGAATTTAACAACAATAAAAAAAAATAAAAAAATTTAATACATTTCCCTTTCGAATACTTTTGGCAGTTCGCATCACCATTTCGCCACAGTTCCAATTGATCCAAACTAATTTAAAAAATTATTGTAAGAGCGAGGATTTAAAAATACTCATAAAATACGTGCAGTTTTCATACATAATTATATAACAAACAAAATCTACACTTCATATCACTCTGCTCTTATGGAGTATATCAGTGGCCAGACGACACACCCATCTTAAATCCTCTTATAATCCCTTAAGATTTCATTTCTCTTTTGAAAGAACTCAAAGGTTTACTGGCAATCTATGCATATTTAATTGAATATAAGAGCATAAAGAAATGAAACACTTACACAAAAGTATCTTACTCGATAGATTCAAAAATACGATTGCAAGTTCTAGATAATGGTGCGTGTAATGCTTTGAAATAATTTTTAATGGATGAAAGGCTTCTCATTTTTCTGGTAATTTGGGGACAATTAGCTGTGAAATCTGACTAATCTAATGCCCTATTTATAGTGTAACTAGTTGATGAATCCTAATTAATGAAGAATTAGTTTTGAAGTTTATCATAATCAAACTGAGTTTGGATTAACTGAAAGAATTGTATTCATTATCAACAATCAATTTTCCTAAAATATTAGTTTATCTCTACCTTTATGCTAAAATATTAGTTTATCTCTACCAACTTTATCCTAAAAATATTAATTTATCCCTACCCAACACACTCACCTACACTGCCCATAGTCCATCTTTATTTACTTCATATCATATCTAACTTGACATAATTTTATTTAAAAAAACTTTTTCTTGGGTTGAAAATTCCTAATTAATTAAAAGCTTCAAAAAGAGTCCAATATTAGTTTACTAAAACTTGCTCTATCAAAATCTAATTATTTGACCCAAAAAAAGAAATTTAAAACCTATTTCATTTTAGTCTTTATATTTTTCAAAATATAAAGTTATAGCATATAAAACAAATAAATTTTTATTCTAAGATTTTCGGGGTGTTACAATCTCATTGCTACCAAGAACGAAACACAACAGGAACCTATTGTTAATCATATATGACCGGTAAATGCATCTCTATTTCCTTCAATCAAATAATCAGTTCTCCTACAGTCTAGGTAATTGATTCCGGAGCTACAAGTTACATTTGTTCAAACAAATGTGCATTTAAAAATATGAGACTAGTTCAAAATGCATTTGTTACTTTGCCTAATTGTGACAAAATTCCCGTTCGATTTGTTTCACAACCTCGTCAACCTCACTTGGATGCTGTCCATCATCTTCTCAGGTATCCCAAGAAAGCTCCTGGTCAAGGCTTGCTTTTTGATGCATCTTCTTCCTTCCAAATTTGAGCCTTCTCTGATGCAGAATGGGGTTCCTATCTTGATTCAAGGCGGTCAGTCATTTGCTTCTGTATTTTCCTTAGGAATTCCTTGATTTCTTGGAGGTCTAA